ATGTTACTCACCAAAAAAAATTTATAATTTATTTAATTTTCATTTTATTTGCATTAGTGTGAAGGTGTCAAATCCCTTGGAATTGTTATTACAGATAGTTGTGCGCTGCCATGTGGGTGCTGGGAATTATACCCAGGTCCTTTGAAAGAGCACTTTTAACCACTGAGCCATTTCTCCAGCGCCTACAAACAAAACTTATATTAAAGAAAATTTTAAAACTTCATTACTCATAGTGTTGAAAATTCCTTAATATCTGAAACATCTTCAAAAAGGACTTTCTTAATTTATTAAAAGCTTCTGCAGATGAAAAAAAAAGGAAAGGTGACAGTTTAGGTAAGGGTCACTTTGGTGCAGACCTCTGACCTCCAAGCCTTTTAGGCAACTATGCTGTGACCATTGGAAATTGGCACATCACATAGATCTGTGGGCTGCTCTAATTCTGAACAGTTTAGTTTTACAGAAGCTGGTAGTTTCTGAGCCTCATAACTGGCATCTTAAATGCTCGGATTATGCTCTTTGTTATGCAAAAGGGAGTGTTATCACTGATCGAAGTAACAAATGCATCACTTCTATTTAGATTGTTTTGTTTTTACTTTCCAGGAAACACTCTTGGATAAAAAGAAAGTCTCCCTGAAAAGTGCTACAGCATCACGCTTCTTCACACCTGTAGAAGTGTGTCCATCCACATTTGAGTACCTGTGCCTGAAGATTGCAGTTTTTTTGGCTTTTTTTTTTTTTTAACTTTTGATTTTGGGTTTTATATCTTTTTCTTCTTTTTTTTAATCTTAATTCTTTGGTATAAAGTACTTTTAACATTTATATTTCATTGCTATATTACAGTTTATATTTTCTGAGGTAACTTCTGATTTTTTTCCTCCTTAACCATTAATGTTAGAATTTATTTCTAAGAATCAGTCAACATGTATACTCTTAATAGTGAATTTCTTTGATTTAGCTGGCCTGACTAATCATTAACAAGTACTCCTGATTTATATCTAGACATTTTTATTTGCTCAAAATGTTCTGTGTGGTGGACATGGTGACAGAGGTGGCTGTGCATATTGGTGGCAGGATACTTGCTTATTAGAATGAAGTCACTGTTAACTTTATTTATACAGAACACCCAAAACTAATTTTGCTGCTGCAGCTAGTACGGTTAATTCATCTGCACATTTATCTGTTAATCAGGTAAAACGGGGGAGTTTATCTAATGAGATACATGTTTATACTTAAATAGCTTTTAAAAAGCAGGATTTCAGGGTTGAATTTTAAGAGCTCTGGATTCTAGTGCCAGGTCATTTTCAAACCTCTGTAGAGAACTCACTACAAGGCCTTTATACTGTGGACGCAGACTGTGCTGTGGAGAGAAGCAAAGCAGCTATGAGCTACAGCTTCATGTTGTATCAAGACTCTTTACATACTAAGAGTCAGTAAACTTTTTACTCAACTAAAAAGGCAATACTTTTTTAAGAAACCAAAATGTTTATATTTTATACTGCACTTTAATGTACTTTCTATAACTAGGTGCAAAAGATCTGCCATGGCAGTGGAAATCATGGTCCTTGGCTGGCATGGATCTGAATCCAGGCTTGTGATTGGGTAGTGCTCTATTTGAATGCCCAAATGCCCGCCAGGTTTCCCTCTAACTCTTCCCTTTTTCAGTGATTTTCTATCTAAAGGAAAGTAGCAGTTTTTTGTTTTTTATGTGCGGACTGTCTCATCTGTTTTCAGCCACTGTCACTTTTTCCCTAGTTTGTATAGCAGAAATGTCTTCATGACATGAATGAAAAGCACTTCAGATCTGTGCTGCAAGCAGGTGATCAGAGCCATGCTTGGTTTATATTCTGGCCAGCCTTCTCACACCTACCATGTCTACTAATGTCAGTTAACAGTCTTGGAAAGGGGCAAGTAAAGGAGACAGTGGTGTGGAGGAAGCAAAGCAGGTGCTAGTTTAGTGCTTGGTTGATGATGAGGTAGGGATTTATGTTTAATTCAGGCAAAAAGTCAATAGTACTAATGAAATGAAAAATAGTACTAATGAAACGAAACTTAAAATTTGTTAGTTAAAAATTACAGAAAATACGTTGCTCGCTTTCCTCTTTTATTAATCTATCACTGTGAATGGTCAGGGGGGTTCATTGTGTGTAGTTCCTACTAAGAAAAGTATTGATGACTTTAGAGTGCACCCATGCAGTCCTTTGTTTGGGTTATTCTGACATTAAGTTTCTTGGAGAAAGAATTGTTTTTTGGTTTTTTTTTTTTTTTTTTGGTTTTTTTGTTTTTCCTTTCTTTTTAAAAAAGCATTTCCAAGCATTCAGTGTGAGCCCTGTGTTTGTGAGTTTGCCACTTAGGGCCAGCTGATATCCAAGGATTGCAGTGTATATTATGAGGTATGGCAGCCCACAGTTCTAATCCTCTTCAGTTTTCTGCCCAAATCTAAACATACACATTTGCTAATAAATATTTGCTCTTTCACTAAGAAGTAACCTGTACCTGTAGAAATGTATTTTGAAAATATTTTACACTTCAACTTTGTATCCATTTAAACTAACCCTTTTTCAATAAAGCACTATTTGTTTAGATAATAAATGAGTAGTCCTTCTTATTTGAGTAAGGTGTGAGGTTCACTGGGAAGATTCAGGGCCCAATGACAACTGTATCAGAACAAGAAGTTACATATGTTTTCTTATTCTTTCATCAGTTGAGTATGTTTTCATGAGAAGTAACCCAGATGGCCCAAAAGAAATGGTACAGCTGGGACAAAACTATGTACAGGTTATCAAATGGTCTATGATTATTTGGCAAAAGTGGACGCTAAGACTTCATAGTTAAGTTTACTAAGGATAAAATGAAACAACAACTGTTAAGCCTAGTGGGAAGTAAAGGTGGTCCATTATATATTTCTAATTCTCCATGTCTGTAAGAAAGATAATTAGGAAAACAGCTTTTTAATTTGCTATACAACTTGATTTCTTTGTTGGTTGGTCTGTTTGAGACTCACTTTGTAGCCTGGCTAGCCTGGAACTCTATGTAGAACAGGCTGGTCTCCAACTCTAGAAATCCATCTGCCTCTGCCTCTAGAGTGCTGAGATTAAAGGTGTGCGCCACCACTCAGATTGTTGAGTTTTCATTCTACGTGTATGAATGTTTTGCCTGCTCCTGTGTTCTGTACCATGTGCACATCTAGTGCTCAGGGAGGTAGAAAATAATGTCAGATCCCCTGGATCTGAAGTTACGGACAGTTTTGGGCAGCCGTGTGGGTGCCAGGAATCAGATTTGGGTGTTCTGGAAGAGCAGCCAGTGTTCTTAATAACTAAACTATCTCTCCAGCCCAGGAAAACAACTTTAAAAACCTGAATTTGGAGTAGTGAGATGGTTCAGTGGTTAAGAGTATTTTGCCATCCAGGCTGATCAAACCTTAGTTTGATCTGGGGACTCAAAAAGGGGAAAGAAAGGACTTGCCTACATACATAAAATAAATGTTTAAGAAACATACAAACCTAAACTTTATTGTAATCTGGACGAATTATTGTAATCTGGGTGGAAGATCAACCTCATCTTGGCCTCTTGCCCACTTGGCAGCCTGACCGCTGGGTTGACCACCTAGTACCTTTCCCTTTCCAGCCCCTCTCTTCCTCCTGTTTTTTTTGTTGTTGTTGTTTTATTTTGTTTTGGTTTTTTGTTTGTTTGTTTGTTTTTGTTTTTGCGGGGTGTTAGTGAGACAGATTCTCTGTGTAGGCTTGGTTGTCATGTTTGCTTTGTAGACCAGGCTAACCTCAAACTCACAGCCTTCCTCCTGCGTCTATCTTCGCCTCCCTGAGTGCTAGGATTAAAGGCGTGCACCACAACTGGCTTCTTCCTCTTGCTTTCTGAACAGCACACTGACCTCAAGGCAGTGAGGCTCCTGTTCTCTAGGTCATTGAGGTTACTCATGTCTAACCACATTCCTGCCCTGTCCAGCTCCTTATGATTGACAGCACACTCAGTGGCAGTGGCTGGTTAAAGGAAAGGGCTAAGGTGGTGGAAGAAGGTGAGAGGTCTCCTCACATTGCTGAGCCCACTCCTTGCCTAGTGGGCTGAGGCCCTCCCAGCTTCTCTTAGGAACTTTCCAAAGGCCAGTGCTCAGAATCTCTTGGGGCTATGCTAAAATCGTTCCTGGATTTATTTAGCTTGGACTGGTTGAGAGGGTTAGCTTCCTATTGGGCCGGTCATTTAATCAATGTAAGAAAGCAGGTGTGCTTCAAGTCACTAGAGTGGAGGGCCCAGAATCTGGTCTCATCGTTTTCATTCCTACAAAGAACCTCAAATCCAGGATGGAACAACGAAGGTTTCCAAGGCTCTTCCTTGGCATGGCCTGCCAAGTACATCACCTCAAAGGCGACCTTTTAGGAACACCTGGTGCCTACAGAACACAGTTCCACTTTTCCAGGTTGAGCAAGATGGATAGGAGATAGGAAGGAGGCCGGCAGTTAGTGGCCTGACCAAGGCTGTGAATGCCACGAAAGTCCCGCGAGCTGGCAGTCCCAGGCCCCACCCAGAAAGGGGACCGCCCCCCTTGTCAAAGCCTGGCTGGAGGCTCAGACCCGCCCGTGTGCCAGAGTCCCGCCCAAGGCCTACGTAAGGCCCACCCGCGTTCCAGAGTCCAGCCCTGGGGTGAGTCCTCCCCTTGTTCGGAAGACACGTCCAGGACCGAATCCTCCGACCGTGCCAACGTGAAGACAGAGAACTCCCGGCTCTGAGTCCCTCCCAGCACTGAGCATTCGTGTCCTAAAGCTCCTCCCAAGACCAAGGACCCGCCCACCGTGCCGAAGCACGGTTCCACCCGCGGAAATGCTGCACAGCTTTGCCTTTGACTTTATGGGTCTCTCTCGCCCCGCCCTTCTCCGTGTGGCCGCCAATCAGAGCTAGGTGCTGCGCTCGCAGGCGCCAGTCCGCCCGCAGGCCAATCGGTGGTGCGTCCGCGGGGGGCGGGGCTGCGGCGGACGCGGCGGGGGCGGGGAAGCAGGAGCTCTGCGGAGCGGGCTGCGCGGGCGCACGACGTGGAGGAGGCCTGGCTGGCGGCGGCGCGGGCCGGTGTGGCACGGTGAGGACGCGACGGCCTGGGGCGGGGTGGGGGTTGAGTCGCGCTGGGCCGGGCGGGCGGGCTTGCGCTTCCTTCGTTGGCCGGACCTCCGCGGAACCCGACCCGGACCAGGCCTGAGGCTGCCCGTCCACCAGAGAAAGTCCACGCCCGGCTCTGGGGCCTTCGTGAGGCGCGCCAGCTCCCCTTCGAGTCCGCGTTTGACAACACACGTCCGTGAACGGCCTGTCGGTGGAAGGAGAAGGGAGGACGGTCCAGACTAGATGTCTGCTGAGAACTGCAGGGTTGCTTGTGTAGATGAGCAGTCTGGGGATGGCTGAGAGCTGTGGAGTTCAGTCTGGAGCCTGGCTGTCAGCAGAGGACTGAGGGCAGGAACATCACACGTGGACACCAGCTGTCGAGGCAGGGGGGTGATCAGAGTCGGAGCGACACTCGTGTATAGTCAGTGTTCCCAGGAGAGTTAAGGGCTATTAGAATGCCCTGGTGAGGACCCCCTCCTCCAGTGCTCAGCAAAGCAGAAACCTTAAGAAGCAGCACCAGGAGCCATAAATGAAAGCCCAGAAGGGCATTGGCCACTCCCTGATTTTTCTTCTCAGCCTTTCCTTCAAAACTGAGAATCAGGTGTTAATGTTCTTACTTTACTGGGATCTAGAAATAGTCCTGTCCCGTTGCATTTTACTCATCCTAGATTATAAACACCTTTGCCATTTACACACGTGGCAGTGATTTCTTAAGGTAGTTCATAGCCCAGTAGTGCTGGTGAAAAACTAAAGCAGTCATAAAAGAAATAATGTTGATACAGTGGAAAGGCTTAAAATTCCGGGCAGAATCTTTTAAGGGTGGCTTTTCTCTCTAGCTTTGTTCTGTTTCCATGAGGTGTTTTTTTTTTTTTTTTTTTGACTGGGCCACTGTGAAAATGTTTAGTAATTAGCGGGTAACACTGAATTTGAGTCGGTCGTGCGTTGGAAAGATGGAAGAGGGCATTTGAAATGGGGAGGTATGAACTAATCTTGCTGGCTAAAAAAATTTTTTTGTGAGTTTCTAGATATGAAAAGTCATTTATGAAGCACTTGGTGGCTATTATTTTGTCAGTTCTAAAGTCTTCAAAGGGGACATGGCCAAGTTGCACAGCCTCTTCCCCCATCCCCCACTGTCTTTGTTGAGACAGTTTCCATAACCCAGGCTGGCCTGCAACTCACCATCCTCCCCTTCTGAGTGCTGAGAGCACAGGAAGACCTGTGGGTGGGTTTAGGATGACACTCTGGGAATTGTGCAAAACCCTGCTTCTCTAATACCCTTGCTTTGCCACATTATATGGATGCTAATACGGAGTTTAGGTTCGTTCCCACAAATTCCTTTACTAAAGAGGAAGTCTGTATGTGGTACTGCCCTCATTTACCCCTTCCTTAGGTCTCTCATCCATACAGCCAGTTATTAATGTACCTCAGACCGTTGTTGTGATGACTAAGAATTTGTTTTTAAAAGCTGCTAAGATGCCCTGCATCCAGTAGGTACTTAATGAACTTCAGTTATGGTTACTGTCTAGTCAAAGAACAACCTGACTAAAAGGTAGTGTAAAAGGAACTTTTATTTTCCTGGTTCAGTGTTGTCTAAGAGGCTTACTGACTCTGTCTGCCAACCTGGGCCTTGTCCTGGAAGCTTGTAGCCTCCATACAGTCGAATCTAGGCCTAGAATGTTTTCAGCCTCGAGACTTACTGCTGAATAAGCTCACACTTTTTTTGGTCTTACTGAGCTCTGGGCTGTCTTGTTCAACTCACCTATTCTGCCTTAAACTCTTCTCTCAACTAACTTATTCACTCTGGCTTTTCTCTAGGCCCATTTGGCCTCAAAATCTAGCACTCTGCTCTTCTGGCTCCTTCTCTGGCTCAGTCTTCACCTGAGTTCTCCCTCTGCAACCTGTCTCTGTATTAATGTCCCAGCAAAAACTGCTTTCCCTTTCTGTTTCTCTGTATCCCCCCACCTCCTGCATTACCCCTTAAATAGCTTACCTTTCTGCTCTCTTCTCATGAGAGGTGGGTGCATCCTATTCTGTCAAATCTTTCTCCAAAGGTCACCTTTTTTGCCACACAGGTAAACATCACTTTCAAACATGGGTGCTTCTTCTACAAACTATCTTTACCTTCTTTGGGATTAAAGGCCTGTACCACTGTGCCTCGACCTAGACTTTTCTTTACCTGAAACTTCCTCTATATCAGGCTGGCCTTGAACTGGGTTCTGCTCCTCTCTGTCTCCTGGATTAAAGGCATATTTGTATTCCAGCCAGATCACACAGTCAGAGAAGGTCTTTGGATGGGATCTGTGTCCAGAACAGTCATGTTCTGAATTAACATTCCTCTACAAGGTAGTCAGGCCAACCCTGGGTATTTGTAAGAACAGTTGAAGTAGATAGTGATTCTACAGAGTTATCCCGATTGGAGGGAAGGATGTGAACTGGATTGCCTAAGTAGATAGTTGTCCATAGGTAATTCTATGGGACACTATTTAAGTCTATTTGTCAGTTTCCTTCTTCAAGTCACATGAACACCTTCTGTATTCGGATGTTAACAGGTTTCTCTAAATTCTGCCTGCCATTTCAGGTTACATTCATAGTTGCATTCTCCTTTCGTGATCTTTGTACTGTCCTGCCATGCTAGGTGTGCAGCTAGGACACATTGACCAGCTGGGTGATGTTAGTCTGTTCTCAAGATCATTATGTACAGAGTCCTTTCTAGGTATCTGTTGAGATGAGGGTTTTACTTTATCAATGAAAGCTGAAAATCTGAGGATCCCATAGAACTTCATATGATAAAACCCAGTGTTGTGATTTTTCTCGTGTTTATATTATGGACAGTTGTGGTCTACTACTTTTGGAAAGCAACTACCAGTATGTGATGTTTTGATTTTTGAAATCCCACTTTTAAAAAATAATGTGATAAGTAACTAGTCAGGTGGTTAAATAAGTACACTTGGCCAGTGAACATTCTTTGTCAAGCTCATTCCTGTCCCTCCTCAAAGCATAATTTTAACTATTTTGATCCTGGGAAATATACTTTAAATATTCTTTTAACCTTAAAAATGAAATGGCGTGCATACAAAAATTAAAGTGTAAAAAATATATATATGAGGACATGGACAGAATAAGGAGAGCAGAATGATTTAAGTGATTTTGTTTTAGACTTACAGGATTATTTCCCACTAAGACTGGTATTTTAGTTCAGTTTAGGTTTAGGTTTTTTTTTTTTTAATTTATTTACCTTTATTTTATGTGCATTAGTGTTTTTTGCCTGCATGTATGTCCACATTAGAGTGTTAGATCTTGGAGTTACAGACAGCTGTGAGCTGCCATGTGGATACTGGGATTTGAACTGGGTCCTCTGGAAGAGCAGTCAGTGCCCTTAACCTCTGAGCCATCTCTCCAGCCTAAGTACTTTAGTTTATTGCTACCTTTAAAAACCTGAGAACAGTTAGACACTTGCCACCAAGTGACATGCTTTGGATCCAGAGATACACATGGTAGGAGAGAAACTTTTCAAAAATTGCGCTGTTACCTTTTTTATGTGAACAGTGTCAAACATACATACACACACAAATAAATATAATTAAAAACCATGCAAAAAGGCACTATAATGCAACAGGATACAGTGATGAGACCTGCTTTGCCTCCTCTCTCCTCCCCAGCCCAACCTGATCACACCCCAAACTAAACTTATAAAACCCCACATCAGCTCTTACAGACTGCATCTAAATGAACTACTAGAACCCTACAGCCCAGCCACAGGCAGCTTTCTCTTCTCTGTTGTCTTGAACTGACTGTACACTGCCTTTTCCCTATCTCCATTCACACGCATGTAATGTGCCTGCCTCACCGGATTGAGACAGGCTCTGGCCACCTAGCTTTGGTCGTCCTGGAACTCACTATGTAGATCAGGCTGGCCTCCAACTCAGAGAAATAAATCTGCTTGTCTCTTCCTCAGGAGTGCTGGGATTAAAGGGTTGCCATGATGCTCCACCTGATCTCTTGCTTCCTGTGAGAGATCTGAACTGAACCTGTAAGGCCAAAGCAGTGATTTTTTTGTTTGTTTGTTTGTTTCCCTCTCCATGATTGCTGTGGACAAATGATGTTGTGTGTTTACATGATTGTTTTTCTTTCTCGATTAAATTGAACAGCGTAGGATCAGGGTGGAGTGGAGCATCTACAGAGGTGAGGAACTGCCATGTCATTTACCCCTATGAGCTGGAGTCCCTGAGTCATAGTATGGGAACACTGCCTCTTGTTACAAGTAGTTGTGAGCAGTAAGTGGCAAAACGTAAAGCAAAGGTCTGGGCCTCCTGGCAGTGGTGTCGCTTGGGACATGGTAGCTATAAAGACTGATTTGCCTTTTCTGTTAGGCTTTCCCTTCCATCCCTGCTGCTCTTCCACCTGCCAGATTCCTCTGCCATCTTCACTTTATCTGGAATACGTACCACCATCTTGTGTCCCTCTGCACTGTAGGGATTTCTCCCTTTGGAGGTCCTATATCCTTCATCATTTAAAGTTTCTGTATTATCAGAATAAGTGATCAACAAGTGTTTGAATACACTTATTCAAGGAAGTTTTGTGTGGGGCAAAGTCTGATGCCAGGTTTTGCGGAACCTGAAGCATATATAATTAGAAAAGGGTAAGTGGCTCATAACAGCCTATAATTCCATCTCCAGAGGGATGAAACACCTTTGATCTCTGTAGGCACCTGCACTCGAAATGCACATACCCACACATAGACACACAATTTAAAATAATAAATATAAATCTTTTAAAAGAAATCGGTTACAAATAAAAGTTAATTCGTTAAATAAACATTGGTTTAGTATGAGAACAAGAAGCTAGGAATGTTACTGAGTTTATAATGAGCAAGTGCTTTCCTAGAACACACAAAGCCCTGAGTTTGATCCTTAGTGTCACAGAAACCTGACATAGTGATCCATCCCATAATCTCAGCTGGGTGGTAGAGACAGGAAAAGTGGA